GCTAATTCATTTTCCTTATTCAACCAACTACTATCAAGTGCAGCTGATTTGCCGCTATTTAAACTCGACAGCGTGGTTGTTGTTGTCAATTCTATACATCCATTTGCTTATTTGCTTTTTTGTATAGTTTCAGATATGCTGTCGCGTACACGTGTCGCCCATTTTCAGACCACCATTGTGGTTGCCCTGGCTAGCTCAGCAATTGGGTGGTCGGGATCCTTAACCCTTGCCACAATGGTGCCGGGCGGACGTGGCGGCTCGTTCAGGGCATATCACACCCACAGGAAGCCCACCCATCCATGGACCGCCTATGTGTCTCCTTCGGTCTCCCTTTTGTATGCTCCAATGCCCCCCCTTAGTTACCCCCCTTGTCATCTTCGCCTCCCCTGTTTAAGGGATTAAGTCCACATTTTAAATTCTTTTACACACACGTTAAAATTTATTATAAAACATAAGAATTTACAAACAGGAAAATCAATGGATTTTATGATCGGTTTCCGGCCGCCACAACAAAAAGGAACCAATCAAATTGATCACCGTTTATACACGTATGTCAAACAAACAATACAGAAAACCTGCCACCCTACCTACAAGAGCTATTTTCGGATGATGTGAAGGGTCTCCGGGAGCCGGATATTCCCCGCTCAGAAACTACTACAATTTACCCTTTTGTTTGGGTTCTTCTTGCCTGGCGGGCACAAAGACAATAAAAAAAGACGAAAGTATAAATACGTACAAACTTATTATCAAATTATCTAAGCAACACAAATGTATGAACGTATATATTGCAAATAATGAAATGTTCTAAAAAAATTAATATTTTTGGGACTATACTTGGGACGCGCAGTGTATCATCTAATCCCGATGATTGGGTTATAACATGCCGGTGGTGGTCTCGACTGACCCCTTACACAAACCGGAAGGCTGAATCTTTGCTCCTCGTTGCGAGCTTTAAAAGAAATCCTTTTGGGTAGATATTTCCCTCGCGCAAAAGCTTTTGCATCGAATTTTACGATACTTAAGCCTAGCACTCACCAGCGAACTGTGCCGTACCCTTTTTGCCTTCACACTGGCGTGGTTCACCTTATCTCCTGGCACACTAGGGACACACAAAAAATGTACACTAACACCTGACGAAAATCTATATTTTCGTGACTTACGTGTCGCTGGGTTTCCACGGGTGCTTTGGGCCTTATATGGTCGTCACCGCTGATGGCCAATCCTCCTGCCTTGGCAAGTATAATATCGGCTTCTCCCTCTTCTTGCCTCTGATGACCACGTTCTCCCGGGCGCTTAGAGGTGATCGTGGGCTCTTCGCCTACACTCCTCACAACTTTATTTTTTTTTTTTTGCAACTCGCGACTTTAAAAATGCATTTAGAATTTATTTTTATTTCACTAAAGAAAATTTTCGGACGTTACTGCACTTTTAAAAAAGGCGTGTAAAAAAAAAGACAAGGCTCAACTAGCGCGCACTGTCTGAACGTTGCAATGACACCGGCAATTCTTTGCTTACGGAACTCAGCCGACCCCCTTTTAAATGCTATTTGTCAGGCCCCTATGCCTTCTAATCACCGTTCTTTCCGCTTTCTTCATTGTTCACGACCCGGCCAATCGTGGTATCGCGCACCCTATTGCTATCCCTCTCCTCGAGATTTTCCCCAAACTCTCCAAGCTACAACTTTTCGTCTGGCACCATTTGTAAACATATTCGTTCCAAACAAGGCGAAATATGGAGAAACTCCGGTCGCAGAATGTACCGCGCTACGTAAGGCGCACTCAATTTCCGACAAGTACAAATCCCATTCGCGATGGTCCTTTTCGAGGTATGACCGGATGGCCGCCAGCACCGATTGATTTACGCGTTCTGCTGCATTCGATTGCGGAGCATAATACGCGGTTTTCATATGTTTAACGCCATAGGCATGCAACAGCTGCGTGAATTGTTTGGACGCAAACTGCTTCCCGTTGTCCGAATGTATGATCTCCGGAACACCAAATTTGTGGAATATCTCATCCGTGAGAAATTTTACGACATTTGCAGCTGTGGCTTCACGCATCGCTTTTAAGAAAATAAATTTGCAAAAGTGATCTACTACGATAAAAATAAAACTATTCCCGTGCTTTGATCTGGGATATTTCCCGAGGAAATCTACATATAATTTTTGGAATGGCCGATCTGTGACTACCTCGTTCCCAATGCCGGGTCTTAGAGTCGCGTTACTTGGTTTCGTCTCTTTACAGGTCTGACAATTGCGTACAAAGTTGCGGACTTGGACTACCATATTTGGCCAGTAATACAGCCGCCTTAAGCGGCTTAGAGTTTTAGCCATACCCCCATGTGCGGCGGTCTGTACACAGTGAGCGTTTTCTATAAGGGCAGAGGTAAGCGACTCAGGCACCCACAGCTTCCACTCATTCTCCTCGCATTCGACATCATTAACTAAAGCTTTCTTAAAGACAAGACCATCCTCTACTTTTAGGTCGGGCAGTCGCTCAGCATTAGCTTGGGCCGTCTTCACCAACTCCTGGTATTCCTGCGATTCAAACTCCAGGGTTTGCAGTTGGCGAGCCCGCGATTTCTTCAATGCAGCGCGATAGTGTATCGGCGACTACGTTGTCAGCGCCTTTGGGGTGCTCGATCTGGAAATTGAATGCCTGCAATTGTAGGGACCACCTAGCTAATCTCCCACTTAAATCTTTTACCGACATCAACCACTTCAGGCTAGCATGATCCGTCACCACAGTAAATGGCATCAGCTCTATGTACGGCCTGAACCTTTTGACGGCCATCACAGCGGCGAGGCATTCCTTTTCGGTGGTGNAAATCTTTTACCGACATCAACCACTTCAGGCTAGCATGATCCGTCACCACAGTAAATGGCATCAGCTCTATGTACGGCCTGAATCTTTTGACGGCCATCACAGCGGCGAGGCTTTCCTTTTCGGTGGTGTTGTAATTGCGCTGGCAATCGTTAAGTTTTTGGCTGAAGTACGCGATGGGCTTCTCCGATCCGTCGGTTTCCTTTTGATATAGCACAGCGCCCACACCGTACTCAGGCGCGTCACATTGCACAAAGAAGCGTTTAGCGAAATCTGGATGTTTAAGCACAGGTGCGCTCGTTAGCGCTCTCTTTAAGTTATTGAAAGCTTCCAGGGCTTGCGTATTCATTACGAATTTTTGNAAGTACGCGATGGGCTTCTCCGATCCGTCGGTTTCCTTTTGATATAGCACAGCGCCCACACCGTACTCAGACGCGTCACATTGCACAAAGAAGCGTTTAGCGAAATCTGGATGTTTAAGCACAGGTGCGCTCGTTAGCGCTCTCTTTAAGTTATTGAAAGCTTCCAGGGCTTGCGTATTCATTTCGAATTTTTGACCCTTCTTCAGCAGGTCTGTCAAAGGTGCTGCCATCGCAGCAAAGTCTTTTATGAAGCGCCTATACCAGCCGGCGGTTCCGAGGAAACTTCGAACTTGCTTGACCGCTTTCGGTATCGGAATGTTTTGGATTGCTCTAATCTTTTCAGGGTCGGTCTTAAGTATACCGCCACCAACGATATACCCCAGGTAAGGCAGCTCTTTAAAACAAAATTTAGATTTCGATAATCCTATGGTTAAATTCGCATCTTTTAAACAGGTGGATACCTCGCTTAGGATTTGGAGGTGCGAATCAAAATCTGGCGCAATGATCAGCAAATCATCAAGATATATGAAAACGTTTCCTTTAAGTTTCTGAGGAATTACGCGGTCCATTAATCGGCACAAACGCTGCGCGGCGTTGTATAAACCGAACGGCATTGTTACAAACTGATATAGGGGCCGTCCAGGTACCGTGAACGCAGTGTATGGTTTGCATTTGTCCTCCAACTCAATCTGCCAAAAAGCGAATTTTAGATCAACACTGCTTATAAAGTGGGTGTCGTCGATGCGGCTGAGTATGCCTTCGATGTTCTGCAGCGGGTAGGCGTCGTTCACGGTTACAGTGTTCAGTTTGCGCGCATCGAGGCAGAAGCGATTTTTACCCGGTTTACGAACAATTGTCGTGCGGTTACTCCACGGGCTCTCGCTTTCCTCGATCACGCCTAATTCCAACATTTTATCTACTTCTTCGTAAACGATCGCTTGCATTGCCGGGGACAAAGGGTAGTGGCGGTCTTTTATTGGCACCGCCTCGTCGACCAGCTTGATGGAATGCTTTTCAAGGTGAGTGCGTCCTAACCCGTGTTCTTCATAAGTTTTGAAGCCGCTGACCACCTGCTGTAGACGTTGTTTTTGTTCCGCCGAAAGAATATGCAGGACACGCCGCTCGTTCTTATCCTCTTCGGACACCAAATCCCGCTCTAATTTGCTGTCTAATTTCATCTATTGATATCAGATCTGGAGCTAACTGGAATGCGCGCCAGCAATCCACCCCTAAGTAGATATTTTGTTCAAGTTGAGGGCATAAAAAAAAGTTATATTTTGTTCTAAATCTTTGTACTTTACAGGTAAGGTGAGTTTGCCTAACACATTGTGTGAGCGTCCTCCAGCCGTTTTTACACTCGAAACGTACCGCTCAATTGAGGCGTCTAGTTCTTCTATGAACTCCCTACAGCCACGGCCCAGAATGCTTACCGATGCGCCAGTATCTAACAGTCCGCGTGTACGAATGCCCTGAATTTCGATGTCGGCATAAACGCGCGGATCCGCTTGATCTGCGCTCTTTACCGACGACACAACCTTTCGTCGTAGCAGCTTACGTTGTCGAAACCTAACACGCGCCTTTTGAACTTTCCACGAAACCCTTCGGCGTCCCCTCAAGGCGCTGTCGGCGAAAATGCGTTGGCGTGCTTCCAAATACTTCCTCATTCTTTTTTCGTAGGATGGCATACTCACAGTCTTGGGCAAATATTTCTTTGAATTATTTTTGATTTTATAGAAAATGCTAATATTTGTTGCACTTCCAGGTAGTTTTGCGTCGCGACTTAGCCCGTCGGCTGTTGGTGTGTTGGTCGAGGCATCTACTGGTGCGGGGTTTGTGTGGAGCGCGATTCCCCTGTCGTAATGGCGTTAGGTAAGGCGTTTCCCGCTGGGTTGCATACCGGACATTTCGGTGTTATGACATCTAACTTCCCACATTTGAAGCAAAATATTCGCCGCTGCATGGGCATGCAATCGGTGAAGAAATGGCCTTCCACATCACAATTCCAACACGATACCTTGCTGCGCCCAGCTGGCTGTCTAGCCGCGCGTTGGTGGCGTATTTCCTCCACGGTGACTTGACCCTCATCACCGGGAGAGAAATGTTCTTCGTCTTCGATCGACATGATTTCATTGACGTGTTGTGAGCGTGGAGCAACGCCACTTGTTAGCGTGCGATCCCTACGCGGAAAACACCGTTCCACTTCCTTACATTCCAACCGTAGCTGCTCGAGTGAATACGCGGCAATGGGATATACTATCTTAGCCAACGATTCGCGCAAATTCCCTTTCACTAATCGGATAATCTCGTACTCCGGAATTGGATTTCTAAGTCGCGATCGCAACGTACCCACCACGTGAAAATACTCGTCTATGGATTCACCGGGTCTTTGCTTCCGCTCGGTCAATTCCCTCAGAAGCTCGAAGTCGGTGTGTTGTGATGCGAATTGGCGTCGAAGTGCGAGTTGCAAGCTAGGCCAATCCACTTTACCATGCGACTTAATATAGAGCCAATACCATTCACGCGCCTCCCCACTCAACAGCCTATGGAAGTCGCGTAGAATTTCTCCCCATGAACACGCGTATTGTTCTTTCAGATATTCTAACCGAAACAGAAAATCTTCAACTGACATTGAACCTCGGTTACCTTGATAATTTATCCCCCATTTTTTTATGTTAATATCCGATCGACTATCATCTTTATACTTTTCTTTTACAGACCTAGGACGACCGCTTTCAGAGGGGACTGCCGCGATTGCTGCATCCAGTGTTGGTGGTTGGCGAACTGGTGGTGGATCGTGGTAAGCCAGTGCATATGTAGCTGAATGCGACCGTGCAACGTAGTTGTTTCTGTTTGCGGCTTCTGCGGTGTTATTACTAACCTTAGCACTCCTAGGTGCGACGCTGTCTTAACGTCTCGACTCCAAGGATTCGATGCTGTTATTGTGTTTCCTCTTTTTGCTCATTCGGTTGCGCGCCCTATTATCGAAACCTGACGCGCCTGCCCGTGCACCTGGGCCTCGTGCTATTCTAATTAGCTCCTGCATATTCTCGCGCATTTCGCTCATCAGGCACTTTTGTGCTTCCGCGACCATTTCTTTTAGATCCGGTGCTATTTCATCTCGGATATCACGAGCCTTGGTTGAATTGCTTATGGGAAGCCGGTTGGTCCCGCCGTAAGTAGTTGGAGGAGGGTGGGGAAAAGTCCAGGGGAGTGGTTGTGGTAGCGTTAAGGGTATTGATTGGGACTCAGTCTGTTTGGGAACCGCCCCGGTGTTTTTAGTTGCACCTGATGCATTGTTTGCAACTTCCTGCACTGAGTCACTACCAGTTGACCTAGCGTTATTATTGCCCCCTATGCGATCTGATAGGTCTATGAAGGCAGGGTCGTTTGTGCTTTGCTCCTTTTGTGGAGGCACGTTCCCTGGTGGATGCATATTCGCTTTTTTTGTGTTCGCTCGGGTATTGTAAGCAATTTGAGTGCGTGTCATTCAAATATATGTACAAATATATAAAAAAAATATTATTTACGACGAAGAGAATTAAAAATTATTTTTGGATCGATATTGACTTATGCGATTTCATAAAAACGGGGGAGGGCTAGATGACTTTCCGGGTTTTGAGGGTCGGTTGACCAAATCCTTTTCGGGGAGTGATTGGAGCACTGATACGTCGTTCCTGCGAGCAACAATATGCCAGTTCGGTGTAAATAATAAAAAAAATCTAAGTTAAGAAACATTCAGAATCAATATGGTTATGCATCGTAACTGAGTGTTAGTTGCGGTCAATAACGTACTTTTAAACTTCAAAGCAGCCTAATTACTTTATGCACCTATTAGGACTTTGAATAAAAGCAAAAAAAAAATTACATCCTGAAACTACTTTCCAAACAAAAAAAAAACATGAACCATAAAACAAATGCATTGTGGATGGAGATGCAAATAGTTTGGACTATTCATATCCAGCTATGCCATCTTAGGGTTATTGCCGGGGTCTGGTCATCCCACAACCCTCTTAATACAGATGCGGTTGAACTCGCGCACTAATGCTGAAAGCAAGCCATCTCTTTAGGAGGAGAATGCAGTCCAACCGGACCCTTTTATTTGAACGATATAACAAAAAAATACTTTTATAGGCTGAAATAAATTTATACACGAACTTTGCATGCATGTACATATGTATGTGTACTTATGTTCGATATGCGTTTTCATTGCGCTGCTTTGGTCTAGGCCCACAGCGTTATTTCCCAAAATACTTAATTCACGGGCGCCAAGTTCAACCTATGGCGCTGGTGTTATTTCCGGTGGTTTTTGATTGGGCGCCATTTTAACTTTGTCGCGTACACGTGTCGCCCATTTTCAGACCACCATTGTGGTTGCCCTGGCTAGCTCAGCAATTGGGTGGTCGGGATCCTTAACCCTTGCCACAATGGTGCCGGGCGGACGTGGCGGCTCGTTCACTGGCATATCACACCCACAGGAAGCCCACCCATCCATGGACCGCCTCATGTGTCTCCTTGCGGTCTCCCTTTTGTTATGCTCCAATGCCCCCCCTTAGCTTACCCCCCTTGTCATCTTCGCCTCCCCTGTTTAAGGGATTAAGTCCACATTTTAAATTCTTTTACACACACGTTAAAATTTATTATAAAACATAAGAATTTACAAACAGGAAAATCAATGGATTTTATGATCGGTTTCCGGCCGCCACAACAAAAAGGAACCAATCAAATTGATCACCGTTTATACACGTATGTCAAACAAACAATATAGAAAACCTGCCACCCTACCTACAAGAGCTATTTTCGGATGATGTGAAGGGTCTCCGGGAGCCGGATATTCCCCGCTCAGAAACTACTACAATTTACCCTTTTGTTTGGGTTCTTCTTGCCTGGCGGGCACAAAGACAAAAAAAAAAAAACGAAAGTATAAATACGTACAAACTTATTAACAAATTATCTACGCAACACAAATGCCTGAACGTATATATTACAAATAATGAAATGTTCAAAAAAATTAATATTTCTGGGACTATACTTGGGACGCGCAGTGTATCATCTAATCCCAATGATTGGGTTATAACATGCCGGTGGTGGTCTCGACTGACCCCTTACACAAACCGGAAGGCTGAATCTTTGCTCCTCGTTGCGAGCTTTAAAAAAAATCCTTTTGGGTAGATATTTCCCTCGCGCAAAAGCTTTTGCATCGAATTTTACGATACTTAAGCCTAGCAGTCACCAGCGAACTGTGCCGTACCCTTTTTGCCTTCACACTGGCGTGGTTCACCTTATCTCCTGGTACACTAGGGACACACAAAAAATGTACACTAAAACCTGACAAAATCTATATTTTCTTGACTTACGTGTCGCTGGGTTTCCACGGGTTTTGTGCTTTGGGCCTTATATGGTCGTCACCGCTGATGGCCAATCCTCCTGCCTTGGCAAGTATAATATCGGCTTCTCCCTCTTCTTGCCTCTGATGACCACGTTCTCCCGGGCGCTTAGAGGTGATCGTGGGCTCTTCGCCTACACTCCTCACAATTTATTTATTTTTTTTTTTGCAAATCGGGACTTTAAAAAATGCATTTAGAATTTATTTTTATTTCACTAAAGAAAATTTTCGGACGTTAATGCACTTTTTTAAAAAAGGCTTGTAAAAGAAAAAAAGACAAGGCTCAACTAGCNCAGTGCGCGCTAAACGTTGCAATGACACCGGCAATTCTTTTCTTACGGAACTCAGCCGACCCCCTTTTATATGCTATTTGTCAGGCCCCTATGTTTTCTAATCACCGTTCTTTCCGCTTTCTTCATTGTTCACGACCCGGCCAATCGTGGTATCGCGCACCCTATTGCTATCCCTCTCCTCGAGATTTTCCCCAAACTCTCCAAACTACAACTTTTCGTCTGGCAACATCTGCCCATCAAAAGCTTCATAATTTCCCTTTTGACACTTCTGCTTTGTTTGACGTTTCTTCATGAGAACAAAAATAAATTCAGCGCTGGGTAAGTAAATGAAACATGGTATTTTAATTTTAATGATTTATTATCGGCATTAACTCTTTTCAGGTGGTCCAGGGATAGCTACTGTGGTATTTAGGCAAACGCCCAACGTGGGGAACACCCATACCCTGACAAGGCTCTTCCTAAACTAGGTATTTGTCAATGTTATTGTGGCTTCTTAACATTTTATTTTTAATATTTTTATTGAGCTTTGTACCACGATTGTTTATTAGGAAAAATTGAAAAAGCAACAAAGTCTAAGCGGTAGAAGTTATAGCACTATTTCGGAGATCACCACATCTCCTCATCAGACTTCTTTTT